CAAGCAATAAAAAAGAAAAGAAGAAAACATACTTATCAGAGAAGATGTCATTATTCAACCCTTCTCTCATATTTACATCTCCTTAAATTTTGCTTCTCTGAACTTTTCATCTGGCTTGTCCTTCGAAAATTACAAAAGGAAGATTTGTCTTCCTGTAGGAACTGATATCAGAAGACTTTTTACCCTGCTTCTGGAATGTGTAGGAGAGAGATAAACACAGAGAATATCTCTTCTCAATTGTAAGGAAATATTTTCACAGTAAATCTAACTGTGATTTACAGAGAAATGGTGCATTATCACAGACCCTAAAGTGGTATATTTTAATTGTTAGTGAAAGAGAACAATAACTGATTTCTAGGAACTGATTAACATGAAAATTACATGCATTATATTACATTGTAGAGGTTATGATACCTTGTGATAGCTATTTTACAATTAGCTTAAATTACAACTTTGCCTTTCTGGAGTAGAATATCATGCTTCAGATATTTCTACATGTTAGAATAAGGAGGCCATAACTTTGAAAAAGGTGGCCCCACTAAAACTGAATTTAAAATTGCACTACAGATTTGGAATTGTATTAAATAGCTTTGTTATCTCTGTTTTTGGATAGGGAGGACCAAGCAAGCTTGTACAAAAGCATTTGGCTGGATTATTCCAAAGTATTGCATCTTTCTATCATCCCTCAAATAATGGTCGCTGGTTGGTAAGGATATATCTATCTTCTCTTTAAAGCTTGACATCAAGACTTTAAACATTGTGTTGGTATAGAATTTTGTCAAACCCATTTTCCTCAGGCACTAATTTCAACAAAATGTCTATGCTAAATATGATTTTTAAAAAAATTTAAGATCAGAAGCAACTCTTCCTCCTCCGTAGTGCCAACAGTATACATAATGCTTATAGGAAATGGAGCTAACGCATTTGCTTTTCCAGAGATGTTATGAGCTAGAAATGGATGCAGAACTATAAAAAAGATGGGAAGTAGAAGCTGGGGCAGTTAGGACAAGAATATGCACCTGTTTTTATAAAATTAAACAGGAAAATATAAATATTGAAGGTTTGGAAGGGAGAAAGAGGTGTTGTCACAGTGGTATTCTATTTCCAGATATGAGCTATATCAAAGATGAAAGGACCAGAAAAGCCAGAAATTTAATTTATAAAGAATGTTATAGTTATCAAAATCAGAGTTCAATTCTACTACCCCTTGTGTAATGGGTAATAAGAGCTAGATGAGAATATATAAGAATATTAACCATGTGAAAGATTAATGAAGATATAATACAGTTATTTACTGAGCCTGAAGTATCATTATTAGCAATATTGCAGTACTAATCAGGCTTTCCTTTCACTATACTCAAAATTATGTATGAACCAAGCATAGTAGATCTACTGTATATAGCCAACAGCAAGTTGAAAGGAATTACCTTATGGCTTCTTTCTGGTGCTGTGAACTGTATTAAAAGCTGAATAGCATTATGCCTGATCCAAAGTTTTTTTATTATTATTTCAAAATCTGTAGAGTGTCCAGTTAAGTGAATTTTGCAGTTGGTGATAAATTAATGAATGAAATTGTTAAATAAATAAAAAAATTAAATGAGTTAAATATATTTTCTTTCTACAGAAATTGCCTTGGAATTTATATAATGTAAATAGTAGTAAGATACAGGGAAAGAAAACAAAAGGCTAGCCTTTTCATGAGATGCATCATTCATAAAAGTTCAAGATACAAGAGTAGTTCCTGCACTCATACTGCTTCGGCTACTGATGCCATCTAGGCTCAGAGAGATCATCTGTGGACCAAGTACATAGTTGTTCTGCTTTTAGATAGGGATTGGAACTGCCTTGATGCTTAATACCAATCTGCTTTTCATAATGCCAAGATTGAAGTAGGAAATATGTAAAATAAAAACTACTTCAAAATGCAGCAAAGCATCAGCTCTGCCTTTGGTTCCATTTAGTAGCACCAGTGCCTGCCTGCCAGTTTGCCCATCTGTTATTCATCCTAATGAGCTCTCCCATTGTTTTTTAGTGGAAAATGGTTCAAAACTATATATCACCCTCTGTAGTATTAGATTGGATTAAACTTCTGTATTCTGATATCCTTCAGTTGTATTGAAACAGAACTATTAGATTCCTGGAACATGGTTGCCAGAACTAAACACCTGCTTAGCTTCCATTCAGAATTGCTGCTGCTGTCAGTAGATGAATTTTATTTAATGAATGAGTTTAGGGGTGTGGAAGTGGGTATCACTGGACTGAGGAAGGAAGAGAAAGCAAACTGCTTCTCCCTGGAGATAACTATCTACCATAATTGCACCAAGAAAAGAATGGAAGAATATTATTGTTCTGCTGTGTTATAAGAAGGATACTACTGTGCCCACAACCTCCCTGACATCAAATCCAAACTCTTTACTAAAAGTTCTGGTCCATCTCCCATTCTGCCCAATACATAAGATATTTTCAAAACAGACAGACATAGGTGACTGCTGAATAATGGTCTAGATTTACAGAATGTAAAACTCAAAATAGTTTTGGCTCTTTTCCTTGATTCTAATTAATTGGAATGGATTTTGTTTCCTTTCTCTGGTAGAATAAGCTAATGAAGCTACTTCAGCGTCTACCCAGTAATATAGTCAGAAGACTGCATCGTGAACGCTATAAGAAGATGAGCTGGCTAAATCCTGTGCCCGATAGCCATAAGCTTACTGATCAGGACATAACAGAATTTGTACAATGCATTATACAACCTGTCCTGCTGGCAATGTTTAGCAAAACTGGAAGTTTAGAGGCAGCCCAAGCTTTACAGAATCTTGCACTAATGCGTCCTGAGTTGGTAATCCCACCAGTACTTGAAAAGTGAGTACTATCTAAAAGCCAGAAAAAGTTTATCTACTTTTTAGATAACCGGGAAACGTTATTCTAAGTTAGCATTTTTCCAAACCTAAACTAATTTTCCCAGTATATGGATTTCAGTTTCCAAAATTCTTAATCATGGCCATATTAGCTGTGGAATTCTGGGAGTTGAAGTCCACATACCTCAAAATTATCTGTTTTAAATCATTGTCTCTTTTTTTGGATAATTTTAACACTCAGAATGACAAGAGAATCTAGATTTATTGTTTGTGCCTGTGCGTGTTTACTTTTTCAGATGTATGCTTTAGTTTATACTGCAATCTGAAGACCCATTTTATATTTTAAAACTCCTGAAATTCCTTCTTCAACTGCTCCTTTTTTTTTTAGAATGGAGTCTTCCACATATCCCACAAAGCTTGATGAGTCAGCAGAAGTTAAGAGACCTACAAGCTAATTTCATTCTGTTGTTTCTTAATGTTGCATAGTTGAAAAAGTATTTGAAATCCTATCTTATTCTGGGTTTTTTTTAGATTTCCTAAAACTGAGTCATCAAAACATACTATTGGTTAGAATTTCTGCAAGCAGAGTAATGTAATATTAAAACTGGAAAAGTTAGAAAAATGGTTTGGAGTGGCCTGAATGTAGCCCATGCCTGGCTTATCTTATTAGCAATTGCAAGTAAAACATTAGAACTGATAAAAATCTTGTGTTATTTTTTTTCATAGAACATATCCTGCGCTAGAGACATTAACAGAACCTCATCAGCTCACAGCTACATTAAGTTGTGTAATTGGTGTAGCTCGTAGCCTGGTATCTGGGGGCAAGTCATTTCCTGAAGGTCCAACGCATATGTTGCCTCTGTTGATGAGAGCATTGCCTGGTGTAGATCCAAATGATTTTAGCAAATGCATGGTGAGTGTAATATGATTTTAGCAAATGCATCGTCAGTGTAAAAATTTCACAGGGTGTTATGTTGCAGTTAGATCTCTCTTATGTCACCTAAGACATGACTACAGTTTTCCATGAATTTCTTTCTTTCGTATTTCAGCCTCTTCCTTAACTGCTTATTTTTTGAGCATCTATTTGGCTGCCCCTATTTCTTCCTCCTTTCATTTGCAGGGATAGAACATACAACAGGAGGAGCAAATAAGACATAAGCTAACTGGGTCTTTGCCAGTTTATGTGTGTTCTGCTAAATCATAGTTGAGAATGAGATTCCTCAGCATAATTTATATTTCCCTTAGCACCATCTGACTTCTCGGCTACCCCTGATGTTTAAAATCATTTTTAAACTATGACGTGCTGCAAAATAAAGTAGAATTTTTATTTTCAATAATAACTATGGACCTTGTATGGGAAATTTTTTTCAATACAATTAAACATTTGTATGGCTAAAAATTCAGCATTTTGATGCATGCCCAGCTGCCAGAATAAAAGAAAATAGTAAGATGACAAGAATAGCGAATTTAATGGGAATTTAGAGCAGATAATGGCAAGCATCTGTGTGGGATTCTAGTGACTTGTAGAGATTGTAGGGAAGCCCCCCTGTCCCTTCCCCTGCTGTGAATGTGTTTTGGTTTTCAGTGTTAGTATGTTTAGCTATGGGATCTTTTGCCTGGTTCATTGGATTTAAGCTTTGTTAAGGTGGATTCATGGTTAGCAGTTAGAATACAAATCCCTTCTCTTGTTTTATATTCAGTTCCCAGGTCACAGTTTGCCTATAGATAGGAATAAACAATGGAACATAAAACCATGGGTTCACAATTGTTTAGATACAGTATCGCCTTTGCCCTACATCTTGTAGTCTTAAAAAAAACCCTGCTAGTTTGCCTTCTGGAAAATGTGTATTTATAACAAGCTATGCCTGTCGTGACAAATGCTTTATGAATGGGGAATCTCTTCTTCCAACAGCTGTCAGATAATGAAAGCATAAATTTTTCTCAAAATTCTGTTCACCTAAAGAGGCTGACAACCTCTGCTGTAGTGTGTATGGAAATATGAATAGTAGAAACTAAATGCAGTTTAGTTTTGTACTAGGTGTAATCTGGGTACCTGAGATGTGAGAATATGAGTTTTCCCTATGTATAGAGATTTGGCATACAATGTTTCAGATATTTGAAGTGATTTATGTTCCTTTTTATATTAAAATGTATACTTA